AACAAAACACGGACAGTTGACAACCAGCAAGTAAACACAGAAAAAGACATTCAATTTCAACAGTAGTTTAAAAAAATACCGATTTTTAAATTTAGATTGGAAAATATTTAAAGATAATAGGAGAAATGGGCAATCCAATAAAGTTGATGAAAGTGTCAGTTGGCTCAACCATAGACAGTTTGGCATTACCTCTTATAGGAAATTTCACTTATAAAAATTTGCAGATAAAATTTTATAGGTAGGTGTCCAAAGAAATATATTCAAGATTATACTTTTAACCATTGGTTATAAATAGAAAAAAAAAAAGTTATTTAAATAGTAATTGGTGGTAATGGTAAATAATAATGATGGCTAATATTTATTGAGTGTTTACTTTGTGTGAAGTACTATTTTATGCATTTCACATCTTTTATGTTATAAAATCTTTACAACAACTGTGACATAGGTTCAGTATTACTCATTTTAGAGATGAGCATAAGGCTCAGAAAAAGATTAAATATGGCATATCTATATTATAAATACAAGACAAACATTAAAAATGATATAATTTAGTAAGTGACAAGAAAGATCTTTGGGTAGAAAAAGTAGATTATAAACATAATCTCATTTGTGTAAAATTACATATTGCACAGATGAATGTCTTGAATGATACCTAAAATGTTAACAGTGGTTATTGGGGGAATTTAAGTTTTGATAGTTTGTACTTTATATTTTGATATTGTTTGGATTTTTTACATCGAATAATTTTTTTATGATTAGGAAAATACAAAAGTGCCATTTTCATTTAAACTTTTTCTTTTTTGAAATTTCTTCCTTATTTTTTTTTTACCTATTTTCTTTTTATGTGACCATGAAAAATGCACTTTTTTTTTTAAAGTTTTTTTCACCCATCCCCCCTACTTTTCTATCCCTTCGGCAACCATCAGGTTATTCTTTGTCTCTTCAGGTCTCTCATTACCTTTAGAAAGAAGATTTTTGTTTGTCTGAAAATAATCCAGAATTCCGGAATCTGAAGTCCAGAAAGACTAGAATTAATTATATAAACAGAGAAAGAAAAATATACCATATACGTCTTTCAAAAATACTGAGTATTATATGCTTTGCTTGGAGGTTTTAGAATAAAATCAACACTCCAGTCACAATTCAGACTGTGGACTTGATTT